CCTGCATTTTCCTTTGACACTGGTTCCCAAAGTGTCACTTTTCCTCAGATTTTGCGTCTCCGACATTTGAGCTGAATAGTCATTCTCCTCAGAGACCTGCATTTTCCTCAGACACTGGTTCCCCAAGTGTCACTTTTCCTCAGATTTTGCATCTCAGATATGAATGGTATGTACTTCTCACATTCATTTTTCTGCCCCACAGGACATAGGTTTTTTTCAGTAATGAATCCCTTATGGTCACTTTTCCACAGATTTTCTGTCTCGGACCCTTATGATGAACTGAAATTCTCTGCAGGATTTCCTTCAGAGACCTACATTTTCCTCAGACACTGGAGTTCCCAAAGTGTCACTTTTCCTCAGATTTTGCTTCTCAGACATGATGAACTGACAGGAGTTTTCTGAGACCTGCATTTTCCTCAGACACTGGTTCCCAAAGTGTCATTTTTCCTCAGATTTTCTGTTTCAGACGTTGAGAAGAATAATCATTCTCCACAGAATGTTCTCCTCAGAGACCTGCATTTTCCTCAAACTCTGATTCCCCAAGTGTCTCTTTTCCTCAGATTTGGCATCTCAGACATGAACTGTATGTGCTTCTCCTTACGATTTTTTCCCTCGCCCCCCTTGGAACATGTGTTTTTTATTCAGACATGGGTTCCCTCACAGTTAATTTTCCTCAGATTTCCTCTCTCAGACCCTATGACGACTGAAATTCTCTGCAGGATTTTCCTTCAGAGACTTGCATTTTCCTCAGACACTGGTTCCCAAAGTGTCAGTTTTTCTCAGATTTTGCATCTCAGACATTTAGAGAAACATTCATTCTCCACAGGATTTTCTACTCAGAGACCTGTTAATTTCAGACACTGGTCCCCAAGTGTCACTTTTCCTCAGATTTTGCGTCTCGGATGTTTGAGTTGAATAGTCGTTTTCCACAGAATGTTCTCCAGAGACCTGCATTTTCCTCAGACTGGGGATACCAAAATGTCACTTTTTCTCTGACTTCATTCAGACATGAACAATATGTACCTCTCCTCACGTTTCCTCCACACCCCCCCCCCCGGATGTGTTTTCTTCAGCCATGGGTTCCCTTAAGGTCACATTTCCTCAGACTTTCCTTCTCATACACTTATGTCGAACTGAAATTCTCACAGGATTTTCTCCTCCGAGACATGCTTTTCCCTTAAGACACTGGTTCCCAACGTGTCACTTTTCCTCAGATATTGCATTTCAGACATACACACTATGTATTCTCGCGGTTTTTCCCCCCTCAGTGACGTGTTTTCTTCATATATGGGTTCCCATAAAGTGACTTTTCCTCAGATTTTCCATCTCAGACAGGATGTTCTTGGAGACCTTCACTTTCCTCAGTCACTGGTTCACAATGTATCACTTTTCCTCAGATTTTGCATCTCAGACATGTACAGTGTACGCATCAGGTTTTTCCCCTCAGTGACGTGTGTTTTCTTCAGACACTGGTTCCCTTATGGTCACTTTTCCTCTGATATTTTATCTCAGACATGTACACTATGCACATCTCTCTCTCTCTTTTTTTTTTTTAAACTCAGAGACATGTGTTTTCTTCAGACACAGGTTCCCTTAAGGTCACTTTTCCTCAGATTTTCTGTCTGAGACACTTATGTTGAACTGAAATTCTCTAGAGGATTTTTTTTCAGAGACCTACATTTTCCTCAGACACTGGTTCCCAAAGTGTCACTTTTCCTCAGAATTTACGTATCAAACATTTGTGTTAAGCAGTCATTTTCCACACGATTCTGTTCTCAGAAACCTGTCTTTTCTTCAGACATTTGTTCCCAAATTTTCACTTTTCCTCAGATTTTGCATCCCAGACATTTGTCTCTCATTGTCCACAGGATTATCTCCTTGCACATGTGTGTATTATCCAGACACTGGTTCCCTTAATGTCACTTTTCCTCAGGTATTGCATCTCAGATTTTGTGCGAACAGTTATTCTCCACTGGATATTCTCCTCAGTGACCTACATTTTCCTCAGACACTTTTTCCCAAAGTGTCACTTTTCCTCAGATTTTGCGTCTCAGGCGTTTGTGCTGAGCAGTCATTCTCCACAGGATTTTCTCCTTAGAGACTTCTGTGTTGTTCAGACACTGGTTCCCTTGATGTCACTTTTCTGCAGATATTGCATCTCAGACATGTACCCTATGTACATCTCCTCATGTTTTGTTTGTTTTTTACTCGGAGTCGTGTGTTTTCTTCAGGCATGGGTTTCCTTAAGCTCACATTTCCTCAGATTTTTTTTAATCTGAGATGCTTATGTTGAACTGAAATTGTCTTCAGTATTTTCTCCTCAGAGACCTACAATTTCCTCAGACAGTAGTTCCCATAGTGTCACTTTTCCTCAGAATTTGCCTCTCAGACATTTGTGACAAAAAGTGATTCTCCACAGGATTTTCTCCTCAGAGACCTGGCTTTTCTTCAGACACTTGTTACCAAAGTGTCACTTTTCTCACATGTTGATCTCAGACTTGAACGCTATGTACCTTCCTCGTGTTTTATTTTTTCTCAGTGTTGTGTGTGTTCTTCAGACTCTGGTTCCCTTAATGTCTCTTTTCCTCAGATTTTCCATCTCAGATACTTGTGAGGAACTAAAATTCTCCACAGGGTTTTCTCCTCAGTGGCCTCATTTTCTTCAGACATTGTTCCCCTTAATGTCACCTTTCCTCACATTTTGTGTCTCAACACATGTACCCCATGTTTTTCTTCACTTTTGTGTTCTCAAACACTTGTATTTTCCTAGTACACTCATTCCCAATTTTCACTTTTTCTCAGAGTTTTTGTCTCTGACACTTATGCCCCATGCTTATTTTTCCTCAGATTCCTGTTTTACTCAGCATTGGTTCCCCAAATCTCTTTTTTTTTCCTCAGATTTTACGTTTCTTTTTTGCCTGAAAAGTACTACTTAGGTTGTGTATTCAGAGACCTCAGTTTTCCTCAGAATCTGGTTCCCAAAGTGTCACTTTTCCTCAGATTGTCTATCTCAAACTCTTGTGTCAGAAGTAATTCTCCATAAGTTTTTCTCCTCTGTTACCTGTGTTTTCTTCAGACACTGGTTCCCAAAATACCACTTTTCCTCAGATTTTGTGTCTCTGACATTGTGCCTTTCATACTTCTCCTCAAATACTTGTGTTTTCCTCAGATGCTGATTACCACAGTATCATTTTTCCTTAGATTTTGGTGGAGTCTCTTGTCCCCAAGAGACTCCAGGTTACTTCTTCTCAGGTTTTTCTTCTTAGAGATCTGTTTTTTCCTCAGACACTCATTCCCAAAGTGTTACTTTTCCTCAGCTTATGCATCTCAGATTCTTTTGTGAACAGTTTTTCTTCTCAATTTTTCTTCCTAGAAGGCATGTTTTCCTCAGATACTGCTTCCCAAAGTTTCACATTTCCTCAGATTTTGCGTTTCAGGCACTTGTGCCCCAAGCATATTTTCCCTCATGTTCTTCTTCTCTTAGACCTGTTTTTACTCATTTTTGCTTCTAATGTGTCACTTTTCCTCAGATGGTACTTCTTTTATAATGTGTCAAAGACTATTCTCAGAGGTTTTTTCTGAGATGCCATGTTTCCTCCAAAACTGTCATCGAAACTGCCACATTTTCTCAGATTTTTGTTAGTTTAGTTGTGCCTGAGTCCACAGCAGCTGGA